GAGCTGTTGTTCAGCATCTTAGCTGTAGAGGGCAGTGTCACTGGCCCTCATATGTGGGATTCGAACCGGGGCCCTCTGGCATCCCAAGCCAGTTCTTAACCAACGCGCCACTCAGCCGGCCCTGGAATATTCTATCTTAATACTGTAAAGATGGCAGTACTCCCCAAATTGACCTATAAATTCAACATAATTCCTACCCAAATACTAGCTGGCTTCTTTGTAGAAATTGGTAAACTGACCCTGAAAATACACAAACTCAAGGGACCCAGAATAACCAAAACAATCTTGAGAGAGGAACAAAGTTGGAGAATTCACACTTCCTGATTCCAAATCTTACTACAAAGCTACAATGTGGTACTGGTGTAAGGGTGGATATATAGAACAATAGAGTAGAATTGAGAGTCCAGAAATAAACCCACATGGCTATGGTCAACTGACTTTTGACAAGGCTGCCACAGCTATTCAATGAGGAAAGAATAGTCTCTTTAACAAACGGTGCCGAGACAGCTGGATATTCACATGGAATAGAATGAAGTTGAAACCTTATCTCACACCATATACAAAAAGTCACTCAAAATGGACCATAAACCTAAATAGAAGAGTTAAAACCATCTTAGAAGAAAACATAGGGGTAAATCTTCATTACCTTGGATTTGGCAATAATTTCTTACATATGACATCAAAAGTACAAGCAGCAAAAGAAAAAAATTGGACTTGATGAAAAACAAAACTTTGCATCAAAATGCACTATAAATAGAGTGAAGACAGCCCAAAGGATGACAACAATTTTTGCAAATCACATCTGGTGTCTAGTATCTAAAATATATATATATGTAAAAACATGCCTACAACTTAAAAAGACATCCCAATTTAAAAACAAGCAAAGAACTTGAATAGACATTTCTTCAAAGGTAAATAACCAACAAGCACTTTAAGGGATGCCCAACACTATGTCATTAGGGGAATGCAAATCAAAACCACAGTAAGATACCACTTCACACCCACTAGGATGGCCAGAATAGAAAAAATGGAAAATAAGTGTTGGTAAGGATGTGGAGAAATTGGAATCCTTGTACATTACTATATAATGTACAAGGACTATAAAATGGTATAGCTGTTATGGAGTTCGGTGGTTCCGCAAAAATTTAAACAATTACCATCTGACCCAATAATTCCCCTCGTAGGTATGTACCCAAAAGTCTTGAAAACAGGTACTCAGATATTGTTCAGTGTTCTTAGCAGCACTATTCACAATAGTCAAGAGGTGGAAACTCAAATGTCCATTATTGGATGACTGGATAATCAAATGAAATATATACAATGGGATATTACTGAGCCATGAAAAGGAATGAAGTACTGATACAGACTATAACATGGAGGAACCTCAAAAAATTATGCTTAGTGAAAGAAGCCAGACTGAAAAGGTCATGTATGGTTCCCTTTAGATGAACTATCTAGGATAAACCCAGGGACAGAAAGCAGATTAGTGGCTGTCGGGGTGGGGGAGGGGCAATGGGCAATGACAACTAATGGGTAAGTTTCCTTTTAGGGTACGGTTGTCCCCTTTAAAATGGTTAATGGCTCATTTTACGCGAATTTTTTTTTAAATGTTACCTTTAGCAAACCATTTTCAATAGTGCCAAGTGTTTATTTTCTCACTTACTTCTGAAGCCAACCCTGTGAGAAAGGATCAATTGCTCCCTACTCCACTATATTGCTCCCCAAACTGATTTCTAGGTTATCTATATAAAGTGTACACTCACTAATAGTGTTTTGAGAGGAAGTACATCGACTGAGTCTGATTGCAGAAAACCACCTAACCTGATAGGCTTGTGTCCTTGTGTAAGATGAAGTGGCCCAATAGTTTGTTATCAAAGAGCCATCAGGGTTCAATCAGTGCATAGCCACACCCATGGGTTTTTTCCATGCCCATCTTTTTATTGAGCCCTCCAAGGAAGCTACTGTAAAAAAAGATGAAATGCTAAAACGCTGTTCTACTCTACTTCTGTTACTTATATAAAGTTCTACTTGAACTCTACTATGCCTGTCTAGTCACTACTGGCCACACTTCTGGTGAGCAAGGACCACTTTCAGCCAGGTTATCAGGCAATGGAAGTGATTTATGGTCCAAAGTCTAATTTTGAATTTATTACCACTAGTGTTAAGTATTCTTGAATGAGCTCTTTGTTCATTACATTGTATTTGTTTCCCCTTTAGTAAATGTATTAATTTCATAAAAACTCAATGAAATCACACAGGTCCACAAGTTGTAATTAGGCCGCCATTCCTAAAAGGTTTTTGCTTGGGAATAGCAGGGATTGCCATGTTCATTAAACCTGTTTTTAAATAGTACTGGTGCTCTATGGAAAGTTCGTGGCCACTGGCATCTCAGACCTGTGTATTAATTTGGGTATCCCTATATCTTCGATGTGTGACCCTAAAAGTTCCTTAACCTCCCCCAGTTTTTTCCTCTACAAATGGTTAGTAAGTGATATTCCCAGTGAGGAAGCTTGCAATTTATTCCTGTCATCTCAGGAAATATGAGGGCATCCCTTTGTGCAACCTAAGTAGTTAGTCCTCATCCTAGGGAATGATGGCATGACTCATCCTACCTTTAGGAATAAAATGATTTGTGTCATTTCACCCTGGGTGGCGGGGTGGAAAAACCTCACTGAAATTTAAACTTAATGACAGGCCTCAGATTACTTTTACAAGAAAAACAAAACAAAGCAACTTCATAGTTTTGTTATCCTTTTTTAGACTATTGATGTTCAATGCCATCAATGTTTTTGCCTCAAGAGAACAAGCTTCAAAGAGCATGTTCAACCTGTGACTAAGCCACACCTATGCAGTACTGACGAATGAGCAGAAACAATTCAGAGGCACCATTTTCTTGCTTAGTTTATTTTTTAGTTCTAGTATTGACTTTTTCATAAATATTCACATCTCCAATAAACTCCTTGAGAACAGTGCCCATATTTTTATCATGAATTAGCACCTGGTACACAGTGGATGCTCATCAAGTATTTTTACTATCTCTTTTTAAATATTTTCCCACTGGCCAGTGCTTCCCCAAATGTGACAGTTCAAAAGTTTACAGGGAAACAGACCCATCGATATCATTTCAAAAGGGAGTTACCTTCCAATTCTTTTGATTATATGAACATATAACTGGTGCTTGCTACACTACCACAAGCTAGCTTTACTTTCTCACAGATTCGGATCCCTCCAAAGGAGGTTCATTATATTCATTTTTGTACAGATAGCATCTTATCTATGGCAATTTATATGGGTTTTCCATTCATGGGAGTCACACCAAGTTTTCTTTTAAAATATATTTAAGAGGCAGTAACTCACTTTAAAGGAAAAAAAACCCTGAAGTAATGCAGAGGTGGAACACAAATGAGGTAAAACACTGTGAAGGAGGTTCACCAAGGACTAAAGATTGGGAACCAGTGTCCTGGGCAAAGTGTCATCTTGTGGGGCAAGTGGGTATGCTTCCAGTGGTGCAGGTGTGTCAGATTCATCAGGCCTCTGAGTTCACTGACATGACAGAACATCACGTTAACAAGATTCTGATACATCTTGTGAGATCACACACCAGTCAGTGGGCTACAAAAGCAGAGGTCAAAAACTGATGCCAAAGCAAATTCTTGAAACTTAAATCTTTATAAAGCAAGATATATCCTAGTAATGAGCTGCTCCCAAACAAAATAATAATCTAAAAGGCATTCCGCCAGTGGCTGTATTTAACAAGCAAAGTATCATCGAAATCTAATTACCCAACTTTTATTATTCCAACTGCAGTGTAGAGAGGTCACAGCTGCTTGGGGGAATGTACAACTTCTGCAGCCTTCAAACGTAGGCAGAAAGCCACACAGCTCTGTAAGACAAGCCTGTGAGGTACACTTTTCTGAAGGAAATGGCTGGGTCTCTTCACCAAAATAAGTTTTCAGCATATTCCAGTTAACACATACCCTAGTACTGTTTATAAACCAAAGGAAAAAGAGCATTGATTCATATAACACATCCCCTGAAACAAGGAGAGGATCATTCTGTGAGAATAACATCTTTGGATTCTGCATCGTTTTGTTTCACTTCGGCTTCCGTGGCAGCTGGAGCAGGAGGAGTGACTGTTATGACGCTTTCTGCCTCTGCTGCACCTCCAGCTTGGGGAGCTTCACTTCCAGCCTGGGCAGCCTCACCTCCAGCCTGGGCAGCCTCACCTCCAGCCTGGGCAGCCTCACCTCCAGCCTGGGCAGCCTCAACTCCAGCCTGGGCAGCCTCAACTCCAGCCTGGGCAGCCTCAACTCCAGCCTCGGCAGCTTCACCATCAGCCTCGGCAGCTTCACCACCAGCCTCGGCAGCTTCACCTCCAGTCTGGGCAGCTTCACCTCCAGTCTGGGCAGCTTCAGCACCAGCCTCGGCAGCTTCACCACCAGCTCTGGCATCTTTACCACCAGCCTCGGCAGCTTCACCTCCAGCCTGGGCAGCTTCACCACCAGCCCTGGCATCTTTACCACCAGCCTCGGCAGCTTCACCTCCAGTCTGGGCAGCTTCACCTCCAGTCTGGGCAGCCTCATGTCCGGCCTCTGCTTCATCATTCCCCTTCTCAGATGCCATTCCACAGGCTGTCTCTGCCTCCAGCAGTTGTTCAGGATGGGGACCACTAATGGCCTCTGCCGTGTCTACGGGGCCTTCCCCTTCAGCCAGCATTTCACTACTTCCTGGAGCAGGCACTCCTTCCCCCTCTACTGCCCTCACTGTTGCTGTAATCACCTCTGCTAAGACTTCTGCAGCCACCTCCTCAGGTGTCTCTTCTTTATCCTCACCTCCTAAATTGTCATCTCCTTCGATTTCTGGATCAACAGCTTCATTGGTGAAAGGGTCTTCCCCCTGGCCAAGAAGAAACACAGGTCAGCACAATCTAAAGAACTGGCCAAATGAGAGATGGAAGGAGGCCTAGGTTGCTGGGAGTTCAGGTTTTCATGATGGGCAGAGTCAACAAGAGAAATACTTTACACCATGTAAGTTATCCTACAGGCTCTCAGAGCCTAAAGATTCAGAAAAGACATCTCAGAAAAGCTTCACCAGAAATTTTTGCACTTTTTATTCAAGCATGTAACCATGAGGAAAAGCTAAAAAAGGTTTAGTATCCAAACCAATTTAAAAAAAAAAACCCTTTTAACAGGAAGGAAGACTATTTTAAATTTTCGTTTTTTAAACTCAGAGCCCTGGTATGAGGGTTATCCCCATTTTACAGATAAGGAAATGATACTCAAAGATCAGTAACTGGCCAGGGGTCACACAGTTATTACACAGTCAGGAATCAAATTTAAGTCTGACACTCTCAGAAGCCAAATTTCTCAGGAGCATAAACTAAAACTGTCTCTTGTTTAGAAAAAGAAAACTAAATATTATCACTACAAGATTAGGAAATATGTTTTAAAATATGGTGATTAGAAGCTTGAGTCTACACCTGAATTCAGACACTTTAAATCTGTTTAGGCCACAAAGTAAAACAATGATCAGTCATGGTTCTTAAATTGGTTATAGTAAGTCCTCACTTGATGTTGTTGACAAGTTCCTGGAACTGCAGATAAACCATGTATAACATAACCAGTTTTACTACAGACCAGCTGATACAAACAAGAGTTAAGTTCCTACAGCATCTCATCAATGTTTTAATGAAACGATGTCAAATGAAACGACATTATTCAAGAACCTGCTGCATTTAGATTCTGTGCCTTTAATGGACTGAATGCATTGTCAAATACTGCAGCATTTAGTAACTGAGAACAGGTCCTAGCCAGGCTATGCTGGCGCTTAGCTACCAGCCTCAAATGCTGAAGTCATGGGGCTGAGCATTTAGCAAAAACAGGCTTCCCAAGGATGAATCAGGGGCTCTTCCAACTTCTCTCCAGGGCACCCTCGTTGAGACTTTTTATCAGTCTGCCCCTGTCACTATCAGTGGTTGTGGCACCTCCGGTTCTTCCCTTTGATCCTCCATTTCAATGTTGGTTGGCTCTGCCAGCAAAACCTCTTTTTCACTTCTTTCTTGGACAATTATCTACCTTGGATTCTTTTTTTTTTTTTTTAGCTGAGCCATCCTGCTACCTGTTGGCAGCTCAGCNGCTGCTCAGCTCGGGCTGGCCTCGAACCGCTGTTGCTCAGAGCTCAAACTCTTGAGCGAGCTCTTAACCAACTGAGCCACTCAGCCGGCCCTTGGATTCTTTTTTTTTAAAGCATGTCACCATCATTTGCTCAGTATTTTATGGATAGATAATCAAGGTTTCTCATAATGAGAGTTAGCACCATTATACAGATTAATCAAGCAGAATCACATCCCAGAATTCTCAAGCAAACAGTCTCAGGAATTCCCAAACCCAATACACTGCAATATCCTTCAATTCTTCAAAAGACTCAGAAATGCTAAATAATGCATTTGAGATAGTTGCATGCTCGCAGTTCATCCTCCGTTTCAAAAGCTTTTCCCATCCACTGGACTCCTAAACACAAACCTTGAGGTATTTTTCCAGCATCTTCACTATATGTCTGTTGTTCAAAACACTCTTAGCCACGTGGAGACTTGTTTTCTTGAACTGTTCAGCGGCCAGCTGCAAAGGGAACCAAATGCAGGCTTTTTAAAACAGCTCGTAGAGAGGAGCAAGAGAGCACGCTGGCCAGGCTACAGCAAGTTGCCCTGAGATCAGCCATCTGCAGAGATGACTAACATCTTTCTTCACTGAGGAAAATCCTGAAGTGCCAGACTCCAAGCGTGTGAGAGAAGGCATTAGAGACATCAGAACTGACACCGTGAAAACGTAGAAAAGTCTGATGACCTTAAAAGATAAAAACATAAACACACCCTGATGCCCAGGTACCATGTGCACAAGCAAGGGTGAAATGAGCATTTCCAGATCAGAAGTTTTGTGGACCAAGTAGGGTAAGGGCAAGCTTTTCAGTTTTGAGTTATACTGACTTTGTAAGTTCAACAGCAAAAGTACAAATGCTCCAAAACAGAGCTTGACATCATACAGTAACCCAATGTTTATACAGCACTTTTGGCTGCTCTTTAATAAAACTGGCAGATGGGCAGGCCAGGTATGCTATCTGCATACCTGCTTTGCATAGCTGGGTAAACTAAGGACAGAAATGTTACACCAGGAGTCAGCAAGCTACAGCCAGTGGGCCCAGTGCAGCCACACCCATTCCTTCACTTAGTGTCTGGGGCTGCCTTTGCCCATCAACAGCAAACTTGTTGGACGGAGACCCTATGGCCTACAAAGCTGAAAGTATTTACAATTTGACCATTTACAGAAAAACTTACTCACCCTAAAACTAAACTTTTATCCTCAGGCCCCATCACCTAGTAAAGAGCAAACGTGTCCTGAACTCTGGGTCCCCTAGGCACTCTGCTCTGAATAGCCCTCAGCCTCACCTTACCAGTTTTTTTACCTCAGAAAACCAGTTTTTCAGCAAATGGGGAACTGACTGGTTTACAAGGAACATTCTCAAATCAGAAGAATTTCAGCTACTGTATTTAGTCAATTCTAAGCAACACGCTTTCTTATATCTTAATGGAAACTGGGATGTGTCTCATAATCAATTGATGAAATGACAGACTTGATGGAATATAGCAAGAGCTCCTAAGATGTCAGCATTCCCCGTAAGACACAGAAGGTCCTGAACCCTCTGCTGGAAGCCTAGGAAAGCTGGCCTCCCAGCCTACACCAGGAGGGGACTCACCCGGCGGTTGTGATTGTGGTCCACAGAGTGCAGATGCCGCTGGAGGAGCTGGTGCTGCGCGGGAATCAGCATGTCGCAAGCCAGGCAGTGAGCAGCCTCGATCTTCTTGAAGAAGTGCTCGTGGCCAATTCCTGTTGATGAAACCCATGTCATGTGAGATCTGGGACAGCATTCAAGTGATGCTTTCCTCCTGGCCTCCAACAAAACCCCCATTTTCTCCCTGCAGACCTCTCTGTGGATTTAGAACAGATTCTGAGACAGGCATCAGCTGCTTTCCAGGAATGTGGGGTCAGAATAGCCAGTCTCTACCCCGGGGTATTTATTACTTCAACTTTTCTCATCTTTCGGCCCAAGAAGGAAAAAACTTCAGAGTGCTTCATATCACTCTGGTAAGTCACCTACAGAGCTTCAACCTACACTAGGCCATGCTCAAGGGCCTCTTACCATTGCTAAGTGCCCCTCCCATGGGTCTTCACATCACATCCTCAGCCACCTGTGCTGGCTTCAGTCATATGCCTTAGCGCCACGCAAAACAGCACCCACACCAGATCACCACTCACCTTTGAAAGGATCTGGTTTTGGTTTTGTGCTTTCCTTCTCCAGGAGTTCCTGGCGCCGCTTCTCAATCTTCTTATTCCTGTTTACAATGTATTCCTAGAGGGATTGGGAGACGGCACCAAATGAAATCAGGAGAGGGTGGCACTGCACCAAGTGGCAGCTCACTCACAGGTGGCTGCCAAGCCCCTAGCAGATGACAGCCTTGTCTCAACTGCTCCAAAGGTGAGAAGACAGCTATCATATCTGTTGGCAGAACTAGTGGGAACTACAATGGCTGGAGCTCTTGCTTGGCACTCTGACACGGGAACTTAACTGTTATTCTGGAGATAGAACCCTTGACCAAGTTTAAGTTTAGGCCCCTTATTTCCCTTTAGCTTCCCTTCTCTGTGAGGGATCTGACACCTGTAGGACCATTGAGAAACAATGTGGGAGGCCACGCATGCCTCACCTGGAGGAACTCCACCGTCTTATCAGGTAGTTTGGTACTTATAAACCGCAATGTCTCTTTGTGAAATTTGCTTTGCAGATGCTTCTGGATTTCTTCATCTTCAAAGCTACGAAACTTGCATACGGAACAGGCAAACTGAATCCTGGAGAAGAGAAATGATGCAGGGGTAACCATCTCAGCTTACAACTGAAATGGAAGTGGGAAAGCGATTTCTGAACCAAGACTTCTGACTTCTCACCAGGTGTCGAGAGCAGTAGTTAAACCCATTTTCCCATCTTAACCCTCCATTAGGCACAACTGATCTCACAGAGTCATTGCACACAAATTTTCAAGTATCTAACAGTTAACTTAAGTATCGTGACTCATCACTTCCATATCTTCCCCCTCTAACGTACCCTATTGCCAGTCGTGTTCGTGACTTAGTACAGTAAAAGATGTATTTCATAGCGGCATCTTTTGTGTGCAATGAATCTGTGAGATCAGTTGCACCTGATGGAGGGTTAAGAACAGGAGTATAACCTCAAAAGTATTTCAAGTTGATTAACAATTGATTGCCACGCCCATCTTTTTGGCCCAAAAGCCCCTAAGACAGCGGTTCTTAACCTTCCTAATGCCGCGACCCCTTAATACAGTTCCTCATGTTGTGGTGACCCCCAACCATAAAATTATTTTCGTTGCTACTCTATTAACTGTAATTTTGCTACTGTTATGAATCATAATGTAAATATTTTTTTGTTTTCCGATGGTCTTAGGCGACCCCTGTGAAAGGGTTGTTTGACCCCCAAAGGGGTCGCTACCCACAGGTTGAGAACTGCTGCCCTAAGAGAACACCCTAACGTGGAGACTATTCAGAACTATGGACTCCCTAAGCCTCTATCCCACTGCCCTAGGGGCACAGTACCTAACACCACAGCTTCTCAGATGTGTTTCTTTTTGCAGCCACTGGGATGATGCAAGGCACCCCATTTTATGTGACAGGAATTCCCAAAGACCTCACACAATTTAAAACTCATATGACCTAAGACCAATTCTCCTATGGGACGCCATGTAGACATGTCATGTCAAATTCTATGGATAAAAACAGAGGTTTCTGTCATGTGCTTTCTAAGTCTCACAAATGCAATCACACTGTAAAGTGAGGGGAGAGTGGCGTGTACACATCCATGCCTCCACAGTGGAGCGCTGCTTCCCTCAGCTTTGCCCAGGAACCTCTGGAACTTCTGGAGTAAGGGCACAGGCCCTGCGGCACACAGGACACCTCTGCTGACTCAGAGTTCTGTTGGCCCCCAAAGCCTGGCTTTGGATCTCTGGACAAGCGCCACAAGTTTTTATAGGTACCCCTGACAAAGAGGTGAAGAGAAAACTCGCCTAGGGCCTATGTGCAGGACAGTCAGGAAGTTACTGAAGAAAGTGGGGCTCACGCTTCCCGGCTGCATCTTCACCTCCCTTGTGATAATGGTTCCAAGTCTCTCTGAGGACCCTCAGTCAGTAGGGCAAAGTCTAAAGGTTCTTTTTAAAAAAATGTCATCTTAAGTTCCCACGTTGTATGAAAAAAGATGGAGTCCAGGCATCACTATTCATCTGTTTAACAAGGGTTTTGACGAATTTCTGTAACACTTGGAAGCTCCTACTTTTGGTTCTTGGCTTCCCTGCTTGTTAGTCCTTTTGTTGAGCATTCTTTGCACAGGAAAACCACTATCTCAGGTTCGCTGAAGGGCAAGGAGTGCCCCTCAATTCATAAAGAGAACCTGTGCAGAGAGAAGCAGTTGCGTGTGGTTAAGGCCTCGGCAACCAAACACTCCCACAGCCATGATGGCTTATGTGTCTAGTCAGCCACTTAATAATTGAACAAGACAGGCTCACAGTGTGGTCACACCAACACCCTTTAGGCTTTGCACTTTTATACTTCTTTTTCTATTTAAAGACAATTTTGAAGGTAAAATCTATACAATATATAATTGCTACGTCAAACTCCAGAGGCGGGTCTGGATTTGGATAAGACACCAGAGCGCATCCTTAGCAGCTCTGCTGAATGAAAATCACATGTGAGACGACAAACACAAGCCGGGGGACAAGGGAACTCCCGAGATGACAAACACAAGCCTGGGGGACAAGGGAACTCCCCACAGGCCTGCAAGAGAGAAAGAGCCCCCTGCTGGGCACACGAGGAACACCTGGACCCACAGGCAAGGAGATGATCCACACGTGTTTCCCAAGTTTTGTCTCCCAGCACGCTGACTAGGATTTCCCCAGACACTTGAGTCAGCTTCACTGCATCGTGGAGTGAGGACAGATAAGCTCAGAAGAGGCTTGACAGCGCCCAGGCCCAGCCGACCTCCCCCCTCGCCTGTCTCCTCACCTGTCAGCTGCTCGGTCTCGCATTCTGTCTCTTCTCCTCTGCTTTTCCCTTCTCTTCTTCACTTCATCATCCTCATCATCCTTCTCTCCTGCAACAGAGAAGTCCCTTCGAGGCCTTCTGCGGAGCCCACAATGAAGCTGAGCACCTGGGCCTTGATGGGACCATAGCTTGGCCACCATACCCCGTGCTCCACCACTGCCTCCAAGGCAGGGTCAGGATACCCTGAGGCACCAAGAGGCTGTCCAAGCCTCCCAACAAGGATGGGCCTTTGAAGAACCCTTAGGAGTTCTCAGGGGAGATAACTCACTCCCCCCATGGCCTGATAAGGGGACATGGGCCGGGGACACGGCCCACCCATCCCACTCACACTGCAGCCCACCTGCTCTCTGTCCTTCCCTATCCTGCTTTTCCAATCCAGTGCCCTGAGTGGGTCTTCTCCCAACATCAATTAAGAGAGAGAGAAGCAGTTCTTCCCAGGTAGAGGCAGCAGTAGGAAGGCCTCAACATAAAGCAAGCTGTTCTACCGCCCTCCGTCCCACCTCTAGGTGGACCATGAAGACCATCCCCATGGCTTCCTCTGAACTAGGGCCTCAGCAGGTCTGACAGTCCTTGCTGGCCCAAACTCTATCTTCTACTTACAGAAATTGTCACTCTAGGGCTTTCCCAGGGCTACGTGGGAAGCAATCCTAGAAAGAAAAGTGGGAAGAGACCCATTGATCCTCCGTCCATCCCCTGGAGCTAGCATAGGAGCTCCTCTGAGAGCCATGAAGCCCAGTGTACCAGTGAGAGGCCAGGCCAGGTCACCGCGGCTCAGGACCAGGGCCAGACACTGAAAAAAAATTGGATAAGCATCTGAACTGTAACCCCTACCCCTGATGCCAGTCACGAGACTGTCCCACGAAGATGGCGACCGGCGTGCGCTGCTCAGAAGCCTCTCAAAAGGGCGTGTGGGATTTTTGGCAAGAGTTCACTGCCTGAAACTATTACTGCTGTTTAATAGCAAAGTCATCCCGGGTAGGTAGCAGGACCTGCGCGCAATAAACATGTCACCTTTGCTTTAGCATTTTCCCCGCTGCATGAGCTGCTCAATGCTCTGTGTGGTCCCATGCTACAGAACAACTGTTTCAATAAACAGGGTGGGAGGACCTCAGAGGGTTGGTTAAGCCTGAACATATAAGGGAAGGAGCATCTAAGACAGGGGCCTTCAGAATTTATGGTAGCAAAGTCACAAAGGAGCCAACCTGTGATACTTGGGGGAAACCAGCTATGGACAGACCCATGGAAACAGGAAAAGAAACAAGCAGCTTTTGGATAAGATCAAGGCCATTGCGTCTCAGGCTGTTTCTCCATATACCCCCGAGAGGTTTAACGTGGCTCTGCTCTTGCTGCTGACTTTGGACTCTTAGGACTTTGGCACTGGAACTGACGAGACCTGCTGAACAATGACTGCCTCTGGAGGATCTAGGCCTGGGTGTACCTGACAGGCCTCCCCACATCCCAAGCTCCCAACCCAGGCAGGTGTCCAAACTCTGTCCCATGCAGCGACATGCACTGCAGTTGCCAGTACCCCATGATAAGAGGCTGAGAGCATGGCCCTGGGCTGGCAACCGAGGGGACTGTGGAAACAATGAAGCCCAGGAGAAAACAGTATGGGGACCGGTATTGGCCAAGGGGGAACAGAAGACAGGTTGGAAGGCACCTTATCTTTTCTCTTGCATTTCTGAAACTCCTTTCCCTACCACTGCGAGCTGCTGCTCGCAGATGAGAAACAGATGAGTTTCTCACCCCACCCCCCAAATGCAAGGCAGCCTGCATTGAGTGAAACCAACAGACTTGCTTCCAGTAAGTGCTGCTCCCAACACTGGAGCAAAGCCTCGGGGTGAGCACCACAGCCAAGGCCACCACCCAGCAGCCAGCCCTTCCATCCAGGCCCCAGGCTTGCACAGAAGCCCAGCCTGGCTGGAAGCTGGGTAGTGAGTGCAGGACAGCCAGGCAGACACAGGAAGTTCAAAGAGACACTGGGCAATGCCTACCTCTCTGCCTCCCGGAGTCGAAGAATTCGTCCTCCTGAAAAAGGACACACACGAAATTGGGCAGTGAGGTGGAATTTTCAGAACTCTCCACACCAGCCCAGCTCCCTCTTGATGGTCGCTGTGCCACCAGGAACCCAGCAACAATGTGTCAGGACAAGACCCAGGGCATGGGATGGAGTCTTGAGTGTGTCCTCTCATTCTACTCCTGCTTGCCTTCTGAGATTCTGTGATGATGACTAAGTTGCTTTTTTATTAAAATCACTGACCTCTTTCAGCTCTAAAGCTAAGGAATAACCTCTGGCAATGTACGCCTGCACAGCTCTGCACATGGGAATGCCAGGAGCTCATTCATCAACTCTATGTCAAGAAACCCCAATCTGTAGGATGCTAGCTCCAGCACTCTTTACTGAAAATGGGCTTTACCAAGTTTCCGAACCATTTCTTTATACTTGCCAAAGCTTGTGACAAATCAGGTGTAGATAAAAATGATCTAACTAAAAATCAAAACACAGCCCATTCCTTAGGCATTGAGCTCAAGAGTAAATTAGCAATCAGCAGGTACACAGATTCCCAGACTCAACCTAAGCAAGCCAGACAGGGGACGAGCAAGACCCTCAAACGGCACATTCACAGCATTCCATCCCATCAACCCTTCCCCCAACCCACTTGACAATCAGAAACACCTGGACAAAGGCTTCAGACCCCCCAGATCTCCAGGCTGTATATCAGACCTCCATCAGAATTTGCAGGGGGTGGCAAAGACTCGCTCCCCAGGTCCTCATGCGTGGTCCTGGCTAAGAGCCGTCCTTAACCACCAGTCTCCTGTGACTGGTTGGAGGGACTGAAGGACATGAATGCAGCTCAGCACCAGCACAGAGTTGGCTGCAAACAAGTCTTCAGTGAATGTTTGGAAGCCTCAGCCTCCACAGCCACTGCACTCACTATGTGTGCAGCTAGGTGCATCACTATAAGACACAGGAGCAGCTGGGGAGGGGGCTGGGAATTTCTTCAGGAAGGGAAGGATTGTTGTAAGTGGAAAACTCTTAGAAACCTAGCTGCAAGTCAGGGTATTAAATCCACTTACGAGGTAGAGGCATCTACTACTGCAGCTGTCCCCGCCTCTGTGAGAAAGAGGCTAAAATAAGGAATAAATCCTGCACTAGAGACAAAGGAAGTTGACCAGTGAAGGTGGACTTACACCCCTGAATTCTTCGTCTCCCGACCGGAAGTCACCAGCTCCATCATCTACCAGACACAAAAGAATAAAGAAAGTCAGCCCCTCAGTGGTTGGCTCACTCCGTTTTCACCCTCCCAAGCTCAATGTTCAGGGTGACCGAGCTTGTCCCGATTATAGTGGGGGCTGTGGGAGCCCAGGTGACACACAGCACCCTTGAATTCCCGCATGTCCACTGTACAGACAAGCAGGCTGAGCACCAAGCATGCAACTGACTCATCTAACACCTACCCAGGCCTACTGACCCCCAAGGCATACCGTTTTCAGAAAAATCTCCTTCACTGTCAGCCCGGGCCTGTTTGGCATCTGGCTCCTCATAGATTTGCAACTGCTTCCGTTTCCTGCCCATGCCTTCCGGGCCGCAGCGGTCAAACCCTCTCCGCCTGGGCTACAGACACAAACACATCCTGATGTACTGCTTACCCAGACCATTATGATGCTCCAGAGAAATGAAGAATGGTTGTAAGATCAGAGAACAAAGGCAGATAAGGTTTTCTCACAAAACAAAGATACGTAGTTGAAACCATCCCCCCCAAAATTTTATGCTGAATGAAAGAAGCCAGAAAAAAGACCATGTATTATATAATTGTATTCACATGAGATGTCCAGAACAGGCAAATCCATAGAAACAGAAAGTAGATTAGAGGTTGCCAAGGGCTGGGAGAGAAAACAGGGAGTGACTGCTAACAGCAAAAGTTTCTTTCTGGGTTGATGGAAATGTTCTAAAATTAGATGGTGAAGGTTGCACAATTCTGTACATTTTTACCAAAAGTTGAATTGTATACTTAGAAATGAGTTAATCTCACAATCTATAAATTTTACCTCAATAAAACTGTTTAAAAAGGAAAGCAAAGATGAGTTAGAACTTTGCAAGAGCTTACCCGATCCCTTATCCAGGTCTGTGACTGGCCACATCCATAGGGCATAGAGTTGTCATAACTGCCTGCCGCCCCCTGCATGCCCATCACGCTGTAGTTGGGGGCCATAGACTGGGAGAAGAGGGAAGGCGGGGGCCTGCTAGGGGAGGGGCCTCCCAGGCCCCGCCCACCAGTGTAGTTCAGCTCATTCCAGGGAGCAGACAAGGGCTCAGAGGAGGCGGTAGGTGGCAAGAAGGGGTCACTTCGCATGAAGGTATTGGGGTTGCTCCGGTCCTGGAAGCGGCTCTGGCCCCGGCCCCGCATGAAGCCATCAAGGGAGCTCCGTTCACGGGTGGTGTCCCGGCAGTCGCTGTACTGACTGCCAAAACCACCGTTGCGGTCAGGCCCCAAGTCAAAGTCATAGTCATAGCTGTAGCTGGGGCGGTAGGGATTGTGCTCAGGCAAGCAAGGCCTGGAGTCATAAGAATCAAACGAATGGAAGCGGAAGGAGCTGCAAAGAAAGTACATCCATTACTACACATTCTGCGAGCGACCTCAATGCCTCCTGCAAAGCTGATCTCCCTGCACTCAGGATAGCAAAGTAAACCAAACCACCATGTGCCTCTCCTAAATTCTCAGAGGCAAAACAGACCAATACTCCCCCTCTAAACACTGATGAATGAATGAGGGGCATGAACCCTTGGCCACAATAAATGGGGAGGCTCTGCTAGGTACCTAATATAGAAATAAGGAGTCTGGCATATTTTAGCAATAGTCATGTCCTGAGCCCCACCACTTTGGAAACCAGCAAGTTCTATTACAATGCCTCTGTCCCAACGAAGGCCCAACTCATCTACCCACACTCAGGTGGGAGCTAAGGAAGAGACCTCCTGGGAGAGCAGGTGCCAACTCCCATCTGTACAAAGCCGGATGTGCGGGATCCCCAGGGAAGGGCTCAGGTCCATAATCACCTCTCCCGGTCCTGTATGCCCTCCCCACCGCCGCTGCTCCCGCCCCTGCCTCCTTCCTTGGACATCATGTCCAAACGCTGGTTGATCTTGGCAATGAGTGAGTCGGAATTGTCGGTGCATGGGTCTGGGCCATAAGAAGCCATATGCACAGCAGGGCCCCCAGCCACCAGGCCATCGCTAGCCTTGGTGGTCTCCCACGAGGCTGGGCCGTAGCTGTAGGTTGCTCCTGTGGTGACGCTGGTATTCTGGGCACCGTAATAATTGTAGTTTTCATAACCTGCCAGGGGGAGGAAGAGCCAAGTCAGACCTCAGCAGCCACAAGGTTGATCCATGGTGGACATATCTGGGGAGGAGCACGCACTACCCACAGAGAAAGAAGAAGGTCATGCGACCAAGTGCCTCTGGCATCTCCCACACTGCCTTTGTACACCTCACAAAGGCAGCAGGAAGAGGGAAGGGGCAAGGCCTTAGCTCTTGTTTTTGTGCTAGATCCTAAGACTTGCTTCCCATCCAAAGCCAGAGGTGGCTGAGAACCTAGGAGTGGCAGTTGGGGCTGCTGACAGACCCACCACAGGGCTACAGCTCCCAGAACACAATCACAACCCCCTCTCCCCACCCCTCGAGGACTCCTCAGCACCTCAGGCTGGCCTGCCAAGCCTTTAGGAGAGCTGTGAGCACAGCTAGGAGGGGATATGGGGATCTCTGCATCCCAGCTCCTCTCAGTGACTGATCAGAGGCGCTCTAACCCACTCACAGGTCCCCAGAAGGGCCTACCTTGCCAGCTGGCCACACCAGTTCCATATGCACCTTGGAGGAAACAAAAAAACACACAACTTTGTTTGCAGAATGAAGGCACCTGAAACACTTGCCCACACACAACTGGATTTTGAAGGACAGTTGTTACCTCACTCCACTATCCACCGGGGAAGGCTGTGGGTGGCTGTAGCAGTGCCCTTGGTTTCCTATTAAGACCAGGAAAGGCTGGGGCCCACCAGCTCACCAGCTGTAAAACTCATTTCCTACGAAGATTCAGCTAAGCATAATCAGGGCTTCCCTGCCAGGCAAGCCCGATCTCCCCCCCATCAGGGCAATGTAAAGGATGCTGCAGCCTTCCCAGGAAGCTCATTCAGTGTGGGCCACCAGCCAAGAGGCCAGTGGGCCAGGTCCCCAGGCAGAGCCCTTCTAAAGTGACAGCACCCACCAGGAGCCAGAGCTCAGGGACTGCCAAAAACACCAGTGAATGCACCAGTGGAAAATCATATCCCCAACTCAATTGAGCAAGGAGACATTATGTGCCTGAGTGACATGGAAAGTTTCTCCCTGAGAAACTCAGTGATGGGCGGAGGAGTGACGTTGCCCCCAGTGGTGTTAGGGACAAATCCCAGGCTCAGAAAACAAAGGAAGCCCTCGTCCCATCCCCTGGAACAGCAGAGGGCAGGAAGCCTCACAATCAGAGCACATTCTTGTCCCTCAAATGTACTTAGCACCATGATCTGGACTCCAGAGCAGGGTCAGCAAACATGCCCCGGCCCAAATCTAGACCATCGTGAGTTGTTGCATAGCCCACAAGCTAAGAATGGGTTTTGTGCTTATATATGGTTGGGTGAGAAATATTCAAGAGTATTTCATGACATATGAATTTTGACATGAAACATATCATTTACACATTTGTCAAAACACAAAGAACTATATAACACAGTAAATATTAACGTAAACTATGGACTATAGTTAATAAAAGTGTATCAACATTGGCTTGTTACTAATAGGGAAAACTGCAGGGGTGAAAGTAGAGTGCGCACATGGAACTCTATATACTATCTGCTCAATCTTATACAACTGCTAAGAAACAAAGTCAATTAATTAAAGTTTTTTGAGTATACTCTCAGCTATTCACTTAGAAAAAAATAACAAACTGTTGAAAAAGACTATAACATAAAAATTATATGGCATGTCCTTTAGTAAATATTACTGGCACACAGACGTATCTATTCCTTTGTAAGTTGTCTATGGTGGCTTCTGTACTACAGAGACCGTGTAGCCTGCAAAAACAAAAACATTTATTATCTGGCCCTTTACAGAAAAGGTTTCCTGGTCAGTCCCCATCCCTCAAATCAGCCTCTCCAGGCTATATAGTCCACTGTCTCCCAGCACAGCCTCAGGAATGGCTCTGTCACACTACTGCCTTGGGTTGGGGGTCACAGGAGTCCATGCCTCCCTGCAAAGCAGGTCCCACTTACCCTGGGTGTTGGCGGGTCCAGTACTCCATGCCCCATAGCCTGTGAACAGAAAACCTGTGAGTTACAATCCTATGTGTCGATAAAGGGGGTCAATTATATGGCGATGGAAGGAGAACTGACTCTGGGTGGTGAACACGTAATGCAATATATAAACAAAGTACTACAGAATTGTACACTTGAAACCTATATAGTTTTGTTGACCACTGTCACCCCAACAAATTAAAAAAAGAAAAAAACTCTATGTGTCACACTAGACAACAGGTGCTTCAGAGGTGCTCTGAGGACCCTAAAAGGATCGCCTCAAAGGAGCTCAGTGACAACCTTACACGAAGGCAGCATTACTACAACACTGACCCCTAAATGTCATCCCACAGCTGGCTGATTGCATCATCACACTCCACCAGCCTGAAGTCAAAACAGAGAAAAGAGAGGAATGGAATGGGCCTCAGACCAGCTCTGCCTGCTGCCAGCTGGGGAACCTTGGCCTAAGCCTCAGCCCCCAACTAAAGAGCTACCCACTAGCCCAGCATTAGGACACGGTCCCCTTCCCCACCCTTGGCTCACCCATTGAGCAGCCATAAGTGCCCATAACTGTGAACAAACTTTGGAATTTATAGACAACTGTGCCTCTCTAAGCCTTGCTTCCACGTAGCTTTGAACCCTCCAACATTCCCCTGGGCCTTCAAGTCCCAAGGCTTCAGCCTGGCCCCAAGGCATCAGACTGCACTCTCCTCTGTGGTGGCTCCCCGTGCCCCTCCAGACCACCATGACAGCATGTGTCTAGTCCCTCTTCATCTGCATGTCCCTGGAGCCTGGCAGAACTGGGCACAGGCAGCCATCTACACTTGTCAAATGACTTCACCTTTATGAAGCAAGAAATTACTCTATCTCCCTTACCTGAACAACAAACCACTAGCTGAGTGCCTACTGTATATTGACACATGATGGGCATTGAGCACACATTAGCCAAATGCCATTCAGAGATCAGGGAGCTCAGAGGTTAGGGGACTTGATCCAAAATCAAACTGAAGTTTGCCCTCTATAGGGTACATAAACCTTCCACGGTACACAGCCTTCCACACCTGCAGAGAAAGGCAGGGTGGTGGTTCTAACAGCAAGTGACCAGTTGCAGGGCACTGGTCTAACAAAATGGCACATGCTGCTCACATAATTTCACAATGTCCCGAGATAGGTACTATTTCCCCTGTTGTAAAGGCCTGAGAGGCTCAGTCACTTGCCCAAGATCATGGAGCTGGGGAATGGGTCAGGAAGCAACTGTCAGGGCTCACCAAATCCAGATGGAAAAGTTACATAAGGATTCAGGGAAGCTGCAGCATCCAAACTGAGCCTGAAAGGTTTTTAGCAAGTAGAAAGTGGGGAGTGGGGGGGGACCCCTTTCCAAGCTAAGGGCGTGTGTAAGGCAGGATTACTGGCTGAGAAGATCGGGTGGGAAGTGAGGCAAAGAACGATGAGACCCAGTCAGGCCGCAGAGAAGACCGAAGAGCCAAGTTGAGCCACCCCCACGACCCTTGAGACACCCATGCACTCATGACCTCTCTGCCTCTGCAATTCCTGCAGCGGGATCCTGATAATGCTGCCACCTTTCAAGATCAGTGCCTTCTCTAGCTGCTGCAGCCAAGATCGGACAGCCTGCTTCTCGAACCTCATATACTTGGATAGGGATCTGAGCCTGGTCAAACCCCACCACCCCGCATATCCCAACTGTTCCCAGGGAGCCAACTCGTTTCCCAGCACACAGCAAAGTCTTCCCAGGAGGTTCTGATTCTCGAGACGAGGAGCAAGGCCCCAGAGACGGGCCGTCCTGCCGCAGGGCCCACAGCCTAAGGGAGGAAAAGGCACGTTCTCTCTTTAGAGTCCCCAGCACCTCCAGGCAACCATAAGGGATTGCCTGAAAGACAGTCACCAATCTGTCACAATCCCAGGGCACATTGGGTTAACAGCGTTCCACAAGGAAATACCTAGCACCTGACCCTCCTAGGCCGACAACACGCGCCAGGCGAAGCTAAACTCCGCAGCGCTGCACTGAGGTGCTGGCGGGGGAGAGTACGACCCTGCGCCGCCCGGACGCTTCCGCCAAGCCCCGTGGGTACCGGTACAAGCTCAGCCGCTGGGGGTAGAGGACTCCGCGTCTCACGAACGCCGGCCGTGGCTCCGCCCCCTGGCGCCGCCATTTTGTGGCGTCTTGTGAAGAGGAAGGCGGGCGCGTGAGTTGTGCGGTCGGCCCCGCCGGGGCTGAGGGGCAAAAACGGCCCGGGCCGCCCAAGGCGCCCCCCGAAGCCCGCTGCAGCGGTGGCCCGCCAAGCTCCGCCCGCCTTCCTCAGGCGCAGCCAGCCAATCCACATAAAGCGCCGCGGGAGCGACGGCGCAGCAGTCCAATGAGCGGCGCGCGCGTGCTCCGGTTGCCTCTCCGCACGGTGGAACTGTGGTAACCGCACTCGGGCGTAGGCCCCGGCCCGCAAGCCTCTGCATGGCGTACCCAGGCAGCACCTGCCCACCCCACCTCGCACTGGGCCGCCCATACGAACCTCCGTAGCCCTGCTCCATGTCTCCGGGTCGGCCCTCCAGCCACCCCTTTTCTAAGCTGCCACGGGACGCATGCGCTCAATGCTCCTCCCGCCGCCCGCTACTGGAAGACAAGGCGCATACGTCACTCCGCCCAAGTGCTACCATTGGCTGGCTTTCACAGCGGGTCCTCTCCAGCTGGCCTTCCGGTTGCTCCGGCTCAGCGCTCTTAGAATCTTGGGAGTTTGGGTAGGGCCGCGATGCTTGACTGTGCGCAGGCGCATTACTCTTTCCCATGCCGCCAGTGCGCAGGCGCTCCCACCTTCTCCCAGATACCGCGCGCAGGTGCCCCCCCAGCCCTCAGCGAGGCCCCGCCTCCCTCCAGCGCCAGGCACGGACAGACAAGCCAGAAAGTGGGATGGGAGTAACTTTATTAGACTCGACTTCCAGCCTCGGCCTCGCGGGCGCTGCCCGCTCCGGGCCCGAGTCATGGGGCACCCCCACCACCCTCCTCGTCGTCGTCGTCGGCCTCCACATCGAGGCCCGGGATGCCGCGGATCTGGCGCTCCAGCGCCCCGCCCAACAGGGGCACGGCCTCCTCGTCTTCCTCCGGGGGAGGCGGTGGCGGCGGAGACACATCCCCAGGGGCCGGCTCCGGGGGCACAGGGGGTTGCGCGGGCGCGCACTCGGCACCCTCCGCGCCCCCTGCCGCTTCGACCAGCGCCCCTTCATCCAGGGCGCCGCCCTCGCCCTCCTCCTGTTCCTTTTCTTCCTCGGGGCTGTCAGTGAAAGGGTTCTCGCCCTGCGGGAGGAGCGAGGATGCTGAAAGGAGGGCAGACCCCCGGGGCTGAGAGGCAAACATCAGTATGGACGGCTCAAAGCACCCCCTGCCCCAAGGGAACCGGGGCCAGGAGCCCCTGCCTCACCTTCAGGTAGCGCTCTAGCTTCGTGCTGATGAGCTTGTTGTTGAGGATGCTGCGGGCCACCATGAGCGAGGACTTCTTGGACTGCTCCATCATGAGCTGCGGGCAGGGCAGGCGGGGCTGGAGAGGGTGCTCTGGGCACCAAAAGAACCCCTACCCTGCCAGATTGGCGGGGCCCTCCCGCACCTCCACCTCCACCCCAACTAGATTGTGTAGGTTTGTAAGATAGTGTGCCTTGGGTACGGGTGTGGGGCCTTACAAGCATGGAGCCACAAACTGATTTAATCAGTGCTCAAATGCTGTCCTTCCACACCATACTTATTGTATGTAACTGATTAAAGACATGTCTTTACAGCTGTATTGTAGCAATCTGATTTACTTGCATAAAAATTTGCAGCGAGCAAACATTTAAAATCTACTAAAAGCCAAATGTGTATCCGTAACAAGGAGCCAGCTGCCCTAATAAGCACAGAACTCTTTAGGATCAACAGGGAGGATATAAAAGCAGGAATACAAATGTCAAACAGTATATTTAAGTGATACACATTCTTTCAATCCATAGGATTCCCAGGATGAAGAATTATGCCCAGATGGCAAAGTTGAAAAAAGGCACTTCTTCCCTGCTGGCAAGAGGTTCAACTGTTACATTTTCTAGAAAGCAGTTTGCTGGAATATATCAAAATTTAAAAATTGAGAAATTCTGTCCTGGAATCTATCCTAAGTTTAAGAATTGGAAATATGCATGCACAGTGGTTGTAGTAGTGAAAAACTGGAAAGCACGTAAATGTTCTTCAGTAGAGAAGTGGTTAAATAGATCATACATTCAAAGAATACCATGCAATTCTTAAAATAAGGCTCATCTCTCCCCTGGCACAATAATAAAGATAAAGGCCTGTATAACTGCGAGAGCCTTTTCTCTGGGAGAACTTACACCAAAATGGTAATTTCCTCAGTAGTGAGAGTACAGGCAAATTTCACTTCTGTCATTACAAAGGTAATAATGCATGTATAAAGCCATAAGCAGAAAGGAAACAATAAAGCCACTTTTGTTGGAGGGTTGGGGAGGAAAGATCACCTCCAAGACCCCTACTGAAACCCAGCCAAATCTTTACACCACGGTTCAGAAAGCCACCTCACTTGTGTTTCCATTTTCTCTACCACTTGGGGAAAATATTAATAGACCTCATACATGCTAAAAAGGAAACAAGCTAAAGATGCACAATTACGATACTACTACAGACCAGTTCCTCTTCAATTCTTTCTAACTTGCCAACACACTATCCTCCCTGGAGGAGCACAGGTGGATACACACAGCGTTTCCAAACATGGAGGCACATTTACATTGTGTCTACATTTTCGTTGTAATAACCAAACACCACCAGGATAAACTTAAATACTTCTATGCTGGTGCTTTTAATTCTAACAAACAGGTTCCCCAATGCCTGAGTATTCTGCAAAAAAGTTGTAAGCCATGCTTCCTCCAATGTATTACAACAATGTACTTGTTGTCCCGTGCCTCCCCATCAGTATCAGATGTTACCAATGTGGAGTATTTCTGCTGTGTCCCATGGCATGTCCCTGCCCACCAGCAAATCCGAGTGCTCTGATACACACACTGGGATACCTGCCCAGTGTTTCCATGCGGTCATCACCTCCATGGTCTCTGGAGTTCCCCGCTTGCTCAGGAAGGCTTCCTTTACCATCAAAGTAAACAAATGATAATCTAAATTTTGTTTTGTTTTTTACATTTAAGATTTCTGGAATTTTATTTTGTATTTATTTATTTATTTTTTTAATTTTTTTTTTTAGCTGAGCCATCCTGCTACCTGTTGGCAGCTCAGCGGCTGCTCAGCTCGGGCTGGACGCGAACCGCGGTTGCTCAGAGCTCAAACTCTTGAGCGAGCTCTTCTGGAATTTTAAATATATGGTATGAGGTAGGAGCCAACTTTCCTTTCCAGAAATTTGTAAGATAAACCAGTTTCCCTCATTGAACTAACAAAGTCCACATCCCCTTATCTACAAAACTGAAATCCAAAAGGAAAAGTTTTCCCCTAAAACTCATTTGGTGGTAAAACATGAGCTGACATTGTTTTTGTACTATCTTTATCCCACTTATACAAATCACTTGAAGAATCACTGATGGTTCAACTATAAGGCACTTTCCCAGGTCCTACTGGGGACATTAGTGATCAATTGTACCATGTAGCTACTCTGAAATCCTAAAATTAATTAAAAGACATCTGGCCCCAGGGTTTCAGATAAGGGACCCATACTGACTTTGACAAATACTAAGTTCTAAAACACATTGGGATCTTTCACTAGACTCTTCTGGTTCCAGTTTTATTGCTGTACCAATATCACTTTTTAAAATTTTAATTGCACTGGCTTTGCAGTAAATTATATCTACTAAAGCAAGGCCCTGAAATCCCTACTGCTTCTTGTATACTTTTCTTTGCTATTGTTACACCTAACTCTACGAATAAAACTTTGAAGTAATTTCAGCCAGTCCCCGTCCCCAGAGTTTGACTGGAATTGCACTGCCTACATTAATGTGGGGAAAACTGGTTTTTGTTTTGTTTTCCTATTAAATCTCCCATCTAAGAACACAGTATGTTCCTCCATTCACTGAGATCTTGTTTCATGCCTTTGAAGTTTAAGATTCCATAACTTTCTTAAATCTACATTCCTAGTTATTTCATACATTTTATAGTTACTGTACATATAGACTTTCTCCCCCATTTATGTTTCTAACTGGTTATTACAATTGAGTGGAGAAAAACTACTGGGTCGTCGGGAAAGTCATGACGTATTTTTCTATGTTTTTCAATGCAAAAATACATCATGACTTTCCCGATGACCCAATAGTACTTTTTCTATGTTATTTTGAATCCCAACCCCCTTACCAAATTCTATGAATTCTAAGAATGTTTTGCTGGAATCATTCAGCTTTTCTAAGAATATAATCATCTTATTTGCATATGCATTCATTTCCAGTAGTTTATACTGATAATGTTGTTTATTTCTTATTGAATCATCCTTGCATTCCAAAGGCAAACTTTCAAGTGTATCACACATTTAAAATCACTACTAGACTGAGCATTACTAGCACTTTATTTTTTAATAGTAAACTAATCTACAGTTTCATCTTGGTATTATCCTTATCAGATTTTTGGAATTAAAGTTAAAAAGGCTTCCTAAAAACAAATTCGAGGACAGACTTCCAGCATGGCAGCCTGAGCAGCAATGGTGGACCTGCTCCCTAGTGAAATGGATAAAAACAATGAAAAAAACCAAACAACCATATAAAGTTTCTGGAAATTGTCCTAAGGACATACAGCAAAAGAAGAAATATTTAGTAAGGAAAAGCTACTAAAACTCAGTAAAGAGCATGAGTTGTAGTGGTTAAAACATGATCTGTAGCTTCCCTGCCTCGCAGCTCAGTGTGATGTAAACTCCCCTATAGATGGTGCTGCCGAGAACACAGGCCTCCTTCTCTTCCCAGCTCATTACAGTTGAGGGCTCTATCTTCCCAGGAGGGACAGATGTCAACATCTAGTTTCACGCTGCTGAGGCTAAGTTCTGGGAAACTGAGAGGTAGGGATTCCCTTCTTCTATCCAGCCTCCACTCATGGAATGGTGGTTTGACCTTGGGCATGGCATGCTGAAAATACTGGCTTGTTCATAAAGCAGAGGTTCCATGTGGGGAGAGGCAAACCAAACCAAGAAGACCAGAGGTTACTACTGCCTCCCCACCCATCTCTTCCAAAGCAGCAGAGTCACTCAGAGAGATGTACTCCATTGTCCTCACCCCAAGCTCCAAAGCCTAGACACAAAGATTTTACGAAGCGAGTAAAGAAGGGCTTAAAAACAATGAGCTCTCGCATCTCTTCCCAAAGGAACTTACTTCATTTGCAAGAGTACCTGGAAGTATGAGACTAAGGACTCTGTCAAAACAGTGGAGTGTGTGGAGAAAAGCAATTAAAATGAAGGGAGTAGATGTGCTAGCAATGTAAACTAAACCATTGGCTAGCTAGGTTACCAGAGAGAACCAGTAAAACACACAGCTAAGAACCTCCCTGGGTTCAGAATAAATTTCATCAAACAATGACCTTAAAAAAACAATCCCTGTAAAGAAGCCCAAATTTAATTCAATCATATTGAGAGCAATTTAGTGCCTCAAGGCATTGTTGAAAACAATAGAGCAAT